ACACTTACAAAATAGCAATTTGAATTCAAGCATAGGTATAGAGTGATATGTCTTTACAGTAAGGTATTAAAGCCCCAATATACGTAAAAATCACTATAAAAAAACAAACTTTATCTTATTTTCCCCGTAATACATGTAACAAAACAAATACTTTCCTTTAATTAAAGAAAATAAAACTGACTGTTTTCAATTTAAATAAAAATTGAAAAAATCGGAAAATAAACAATGTGGGACCCACAATAATTCATACATTACCGCTCGTAGCAATGACATTGCGCATGCGCATATTCCGCGTGTGTAAACATGGCAGATACAGTACAGACGTCCACCAGTCGCTTCCTTTTTTTCTAATCATGCATCAGGCCAGTTCTTAATTTTTACGTTATAATTGTGCGTCGTATCGTTTCTAAACTAATTATTCCTTCTAATAATTTCCCAAGAACTGAACGTTTATCACAGGAATACCTTAAGACTACGAAAAGACTTCGTAAACAATGCTTGTAAACAAAATCTTACCGTAGACATATCAGCATGTGCTTCCTCTATAAGTAGAAACTTCAACTCTCGCGAGATCAGGTCATGAACTTTCCGACGTGGTTCGGCAACAATCGTAATTTCGATGGCGGCGTGTTTAAAATGGGGGTGTGTTTACAGACAGCGAGTTTCAACTGCTCATATATCAATACTTTATGCAGAAAGTCATGGTAACTATTGTTTGAATAACTTAATTCTAACTACATCTTAGAGAATATCTCAATAATTATGTGTGATTTTACACTAAATATTTGGTGAATGTTACGTATATTGGGGCTTTAATGGCAGAACGCTTGCCTTCAAAAATCCCTTACACCTTTACCTTAAAATGCCATAACAAGACATTTTAATATCTATATCTACACTCCCTACTCGTGTTGTCTAATGTCGATAAACAATAGGAGGAGGTTTAAGAAATATTCCTTCTCTCCCCCACCCTCCCCACCACACACACACACAAACCTAAAAACAAAACTAAATATAAAACCATACAAAAAAAACCCTGACTAGTTCCAATGGGTCTAAAGTCTAAAATACCAGCGGTATTTAAACAAATAAATCAAAATAGTTTTCCCATCTACTTGGAACTGACGGTTCTTAAGAAACACAAAACCACAGCAACAACTACAGAACACGCGCTATATAATGCCGATGGACATTTAAGCTGTATTAATTACTATTCCGAGTACAGTGCTTTCCCTAGTACAAGTAGAGTGAACAGTTTCCTAAGAATAGTACAACACTTGATATCTAACTTGTGTCTAAGTGAACTAGACACACTTAGTAATAGGATCCTATAATATATATAGGGTACCCAAGTAATCCGAGGTGGTCAGGTCGATCAGGAACGAACTACAATATTGCACCACTAATGATCATCCTAAATTATATCATACCAGGTATGTTGTTGTGTCAATGATGGATGTCATGTTCAAATTAAAATCAATTAACGTACTAGGATGTTACTGACAACATTGTTTTATTTAAGGGGTTACTGTAAAATTTTGTTATATTTGAGGGGTTACTGTAAAATTTTGTTATATTTGAGGGATTACTGTACAATGTCGTTATATTTGAGGGATTACTGTACAATGTCGTTATATTTGAGGGGTTACTGTAAAATTTTGTTATATTTGAGGGATTACTGTACAATGTCGTTATATTTGAGGGATTACTGTACAATGTCGTTATATTTGAGGGGTTACTGTACAATGTCGTTATATTTGATTAAAATGTCGTTATATTTGAGGGGTTACTGTAAAATTTTGTTATATTTATATTTGAGGGGTTACTGACAAAATTTTGTTATATTTGTTATATTTGAGAGGTTCCTGACAACATTGTTATATTTGAGGGGTTACTGTAAAATTTTGTTATATTTGAGTGCTTTACTGACAACATTGTTTTATTTAAGGGGTTACTGTAAAATTTTGTTATATTTGAGGGGGTTCCTGACAACATTGTTACATTTGAGAGGGTTCCTGACAACATTGTTATATTTGAGGGGTTACTGTAAAATTTTGTTATATTTGAGTGCTTTACTGACAACATTGTTTTATTTAAGGGGTTACTGTAAAATTTTGTTATATTTGAGGGGTTACTGTACAATGTCGTTATATTTGTTAAAATTTTGTTATATTTGAGGGGTTACTGTACAACATTGTTATATTTGAGGGGTACTGTAAAATTTTGTTATATTTGAGGCTTTACTGTACAACATTGTTATATTTGAGGGGTTACTGTAAAATTTTGTTATATTTGAGGGGGTTCCTGTACAACATTGTTATATTTGAGAGGGTTCCTGTACAACATTGTTATATTTGAGGGGTTACTGTAAAATTTTGTTATATTTGAATTTTGTTATATTTGAGGGGTTACTGTAAAATTTTGTTATATTTGAGGGATTCTGTACAATGTCGTTATATTTGAGGGGTTACTGTAAAATTTTGTTATATTTGAGGGGTTACTGTAAAATTTTGTTATATTTGAGGGATTACTGTACAATGTCGTTATATTTGAGGGGTTACTGTAAAATTTTGTTATATTTGAGGGATTACTGTACAATGTCGTTATATTTGAGGGGTTACTGTAAAATTTTGTTATATTTGGTGTTTCTGTAAAATTTCGTTATATTTGAGGGGTTACTGTAAAATTTTGTTATATTTGAGGGGTTACAATGTCTGTACAACATTGTTATATTTGAGGGGTTACTGTAAAATTTTGTTATATTTGAGGGGTTACTGTAAAATTTTGTTATATTTGAGTGCTTTACTGACAACATTGTTTTATTTAAGGGGGTTACTGTAAAATTTTGTTATATTTGAGGGGGTTCCTGACAACATTGTTACATTTGAGGGGTTACTGACAACATTGTTATATTTGAGGGGTTACTGTAAAATTTTGTTATATTTGAGGGGTTACTGTAAAATTTTGTTATATTTGAGGGGTTACTGTAAAATTTTGTTATATTTCAGGGGTTACTGTACAATGTTGTTATATTTGAGGGGTTACTGTAAAAGGGGTCACTGTAAAATGTTGTTATATTTGTACAATGTTGTTATATTTACTGTACAATGTCGTTATATTTGAGGGGTTACTGTACAATATTGTTATATTTGAGGGGTTATATTTGAGGGGTTACAGTACAATGTCGTTATATTTGAGGGGTTACAGTACAATGTTGTTATATTTGAGGGGTTACTGTACAATGGGTTATATGTTAGGAGTTTTGTACAATATCGTTATATTTGAGGGGAAACAATGTCGTTATATTTGAGGGATTACTGAACAATATTGTTATATTTGAAGGGTTTCGGTAAGTTGTTATATTTGAGGGGTTACAGTAGAATGTCGTTATATTTGAGGAGTTACAGTACAATGTCGTTATATTTGAGGGGATTCTGTACAATGTCGTTATATTTTAGGAGTTACAGTACAATATCGTTATATTTCAGGGGTTACAGTACAATGTCGTTATATTTGAGGGGTTACTGTACAATGTCGCTATATTTCAGGGGTTACAGTACAATGTCGTTATATTTGAGGGGTTACAGTACAATGTCGTTATATTTGAGGGGTTACAGTACAATGTCGTTATATTTGAGGGGTTACAGTACAATGTTGTTATATTTGAGGGGATTCTGTACAATGTCGTTATATTTGAGGGGTTACAGTACAATGTCGTTATATTTGAGGGGATTCTGTACAATGTCGTTATATTTGAGGGGTTACAGTACAATGTCGTTATATTTGAGGGGTTACAGTACAATGTCGTTATATTTGAGGGGTTACTGTCAGTTGTTTTATTTGAGGGGTTACTGTCAACATTTTTACTGTACAATGTCGTTATATTTGAGGGGTTACAGTAGAATGTCGTTATATTTAAGGGGTTACTGTACAATGTTGTTATATTTGAGGGCGTTCCTGACAACATTGTTATATTTGAGGGTTTACAGTATAATGTCGTTATATTTGAGGGGTTACTGTACAATGTCGTTATATTTGAGGGGTCACTGTAAAATGTCGTTATATTTCAGGGGTTACTGTACAATGTTGTTATATTTGAGGGGATTCTGTACAATGTCGTTATATTTGAGGGATTACTGAACAATATTGTTATATTTGAAGGGTTTCGGTAAGTTGTTATATTTGAGGGGTTACAGTACAATGTCGTTATATTTGAGGGGTTACAGTACAATGTCGTTATATTTGAGGGGTTACTGTACAATGTGGTTATATGTTAGGAGTTATTGTACAATATCGTTATATTTGAGGGGATTCTGTACAATGTCGTTATATTTGAGGGATTACTGAACAATATTGTTATATTTGAAGGGTTTCGGTAAGTTGTTATATTTGAGGGGTTACAGTAGAATGTCGTTATATTTAAGGGGTTACTGTACAATGTTGTTATATTTGAGGGCGTTCCTGACAACATTGTTATATTTGAGGGTTTACAGTATAATGTCGTTATATTTGAGGGGTTACTGTACAATGTCGGTATATTTGAGGGGTTACTGTACAATGTCGTTATATTTGAGGGGTTACTGTACAAAGTTGTTTTATTTTAGGGGTTACTGACAACATTTTTTACAATGTCGTTATTATTGAAAATGGTATCATGGTATCAATTTATAAAGACATATTTACTTTTTAATTGGCACATGTCGTACATACGAAAAGTCCAATGAAATATCTATAGATACAATTGATAAAAGTGTTTTGTGAAACTCACTCCCCATCTCTCTTCCAAGGAAACGTTTCCTTTCGACAAATTTCTGTTGTTTTTTATTACCAGATCGTCAGACCTGCAAGAGTTTGTGTGACGTAGTTAGGCGCCCGTCAAGCGATGCCAGATGTTGACTGAAGCCGTGAAGCTGTGCACAAATATACGCGTATATTTACGGGTCACCAGACAGCAAACACACTCGCACGTTATCCAACGGATGTAGAGGATTGGACTGTCACTGACCACTTCTTCTTCAGTTTTAGTAAGCGACAGTGGTCAAACAAATCGCTCAGATGCTTGTTTTATTGTAGGAAGTATTCCTTTAAACACACTAGATTTTAAAACAAACCCAAAATGGAACCATGGATAGTTCTACTTGTTCTGATATCTGTGCTGAAGGTAAGTTTATGCTATTGAAGAATTCTTTTATCAATATAGCTTTCAATCCTGCAAACTGTAATGTGAATAAGATACTCTTTACTACGTTAACATATCAAACATCTTTATACAGCACCTGTGATATACACCAATTATAAATGCAAATTCACTACAAAAAAAAATATTTTGTTAAACACATTTGAGATTTCGTTGGCAATGGTAGTTGTGTTTTGCTATGATATCATAGAACACAAGACGTATTAATTATGTCACGCGTGAACTTCAGCCTTTAAAAAAAACTAATATGGTGGATATAATGGGCAATATTTGGCCTACATATTTTAACTGCTATTCTGTGGCAATTTTACGTAAAATGATATCCCGCTTACTGGCTTGCATTCTGAAATTAACTAGATTTGATATATATAGCCATGTCCCAAACCCAGTAAGTAAGAGGAAAGTGATAATAACGGTACAAAGGAAAGCGTTTGTAGACGTACAGCGTTAGGGGTTTACCTTCTCACGGTGTCCGATAATCTGCCATCAATAAACCCAGGGGTCCTGAGGGTCCTTCACAGGACTCGGAGAGGTCGGCAGTGAATCTCACGTGGACAGCAATTCCGAGTTAAGGAAATGGAAAGCAAGAGAGATATTTTGAGTTAAAAGTATATTCGTGCTAGGCGTACTAAATCGGTGAAAAAAAGTTAAAAAAAAAAACGTAATGTGAAAAGTCCTTTGTACATCAATAAATGTATGATGTGCTTCAGATTAATCACTCTATATCACTTATATGATATTGAAACTACGACTGTTTCCTGGTCAATTTTAAATTCCAGTTTGGCCTGCATTTCAAGAAATTCGATACCAGTGGATTAAATTTTGTGTGTGTCTAACAAAACTGATACCATCTGTATATATCATATATATTTGACTGCAGTAGCATGACTAATTCTAGTCAGCTGTCAGACTCCACATCTAATATATTTAGGTTCTTCTTGCTGAGAAACATTCAAGCAATATGATTTGGCGTGAAAAATGATAGACTTGTTGGATGACTGATATAAAGGCTGTAATGTATTTTATAGTTTGGATGTTTGAGTCTGGAGTAATTGTTTATTAATTTAATTATTGTTCGTCATCCTATCGATAGTCAAGAATTCAAGACATAAATCTTATCTAAGCATTATTTTATCTTCTTTTATTCCACTTTTAATAAAAATCTAAATTGGAATTCCAATAATAATAAATAATAATAATATACAACATTTATATAGTGCACTATCTATTTTGACAAAATACTCTGCGCTTCACAATTACATAATAATCTTGCTACAAAATTTACAGAACATGTATAACACAGTAATCAACATATGTAACACAGTAACCAAATCAAGTAAGTAGTGGTGATAGTATGTATATACAGGACGTCTACGCGGGAGTCTAAAATGCAGACGTAATTCCAAGAAAGTGAAACTAGAAATAACATAAAACCATACATATCTCCAGAGGATATATTTTTATTGATTTAGCGTTAACTCGAAATAATACATGAATTAAAGCTGAAAGAAAAACGAGGGCAAAAATTTCAAAATGAAATCATGAAAAAGTAAGCTCGTCGAACTGCGATCGTGTCAGCGCAGAATGTAACCGAGAACAGGTTATTTTAGAACAAAGCGAGGATGACCTTTTCACCCTCTTTCCATCGGAATCAAACCTCCTTGAGAATATATGACATGGCTGACAATCTTACTTTTATCAGTTAAAGCTGTTTTCTGGAAACCTTGTCACAATTCTAATCACCACACTTTGGATTTTGAATTGGGACACGAATATACATCTTGTCGACAAGTATGTAGAAGAAGATGCTGTTGAGCTTCGACACAAATACAAGCACCTATCTTGACCCAATACTTGTACTTTCTGAAACATGAGCTATCTCCTTCTTCTCTCTTGTGCTGTCACGTTGCTCATGTATACCAACATATTGTAATTCTGAGGTTAAAAGGATTTTCAGCCCGCCATCGATATACAAGACGATATCTTGTAAATTGTAACGTATCTCATTTAATTTTACTTTTTGTTTTAACTTAAAAGATAAATCGGAAGTCTTTAAAATATAGTGTACCAACTTGACCTGGCTCGACACACACACACAACCAACAAATCACGTGTAAGCCAGGACAATTGATTATAATACTTATAATACAGTTTTCCTATTATGGAATATTACTACAGCCCACTGTAAATATGTTTATACTGTTTGCTCTGCGCAAATGAAACATTTTTTAGATTTCCGTTTAATTCAGTTACGTATTTGTTTGTTTCAGTACTAAATCCTGCAACGTATAATTTCGGGGAAAGCAGTTGTTTAACATGACCCAGTTTACAAACCTGCCGTAGATAATTAAGGACATGAACTGTCACTACGCTATCAGCTTTCAGTAGTTAAGTACGACATGGTAGAGGAGACTCCGGGAACTGGTGTTGTTATATAGAGGCCTAATTAACTGTTTTCAGAGCTTCCAATGTATTTGCTTAATCTGTGATTTACCACTAAGGAGGGATATAGGAAGTTCTGTATTTTCATGAATAGCTCTAAAAAACACAAACGTACCCTCTCCCCTAGCCCCAACACACCCAATCTCACACATATACCCTCTCCCATACCCTCAACACACCAACTCTGACACATATACCCTCAACACACACACTCTCACATACATACCCTATCCCATACCTCAACATACACTCTCACACATATACCCTCTCCATACCCCCAACACACCCACTCTCACACATATACCCTCTCCATACCCCCAACACACCCACTCTCACACATATACCCTCTCCCATACCCTCAACACACACACTCTCACACATATACCCCCTCTCATACCCTCAACACTCTCACACACATCCACACACCCACTCTCACACATATACCCTCTCTCATACCCTCAACACTCACACATATACCCTCTCTCATACCCTCAACACTCACACATATACCCTCTCCCATACCCCCAACACACCCACCCTCAAACATATACCCTCTCCATACCCCCAACACACCCACTCTCACACATATACCCTCTCCATACCCCCAACACACCCACTCTCACACATATACCCTCTCCCCTAGCCCCAGCACACACCACTCTCACACATATACCCTCTCCCCTAGCCCCAGCACACACCACTCTCACACATACCCTCTCCCATACCCTGAACACATACTCTCACACATATACCCTCTCCCATACCCACAACACACCCACTCTTACACACATACCCTCTCCCATACCCTCAACACACACTCTCACAAATATACCCTCTCCATACCCCCAGCACACCCACTCTCTCACACATACCCTCTCCCATACCCACAACACACCCACTCTCACACATATACCCTCTCCCCTAGCCCCAGCACACACCACTCGTGTTATACGATATCACCTTTGATTGAATATTTATTATTAAAAAAAATATGTTATTACAGTTAGTTTCCGGTACAGCCCAGGTACAGATCCGCCTTGTGAGATATATAAACCCAGGGGGTAAAGGTGACAATGGTCATCCTTGTGATGGACGCTGGCTCTTTAACGGAAGTCCTTGTGACCACAGGATCGTGCTGTGTATGGACACTGTCAGTGGGTGAGTGATCTGGTGGTCGGTTTTAATTGTGACAATGTGGTCATTTGATTAAGTAAAAATTGATACATGTACTAATAATATCCACTAATGTAGAGTTATAAGTGAAGTGCATAGAGTTTCTGGCGAATTCCATTTACATAGAATGTCTATCACATCGACTGTTTGAAGAAATAAAACAAATTAATTTACTGATTGTTTTCTCGGAGCTGAGCTGTCTATATTTGGATGATTGCCACTTCGTCTTATATGTTTCAGGTCAGATTCGGTCAACAGGTGCGCCTACGGGCGAGCGGATACTGGGGAAATCAGTAACGCTGACACTATTACGTTCGCGGGACGTGCCGGGCGACTCAGTAACCCGTTTACCTTTCGAGTGGCGCTGTGGCCGGTACGTTAGTTCAGGTGTAGTTACTCACAAACCTAAGCATGTTGACAGTCAGGCACCCGCTAACTTCCATTTAACTTGTACGGCCATCTATGAAAACTCTTGGTTAACTTTCGAATTTTGCAATGAAGAAAGGAACACAAAGAAAATCTATTGGTTCTGGCCAAAATTTTACCGTCCATCATCCCCCCTATCACTAGTGGACCCCAAAAGGGAAAGTTAGTCAATATTGTGCTTTAAAATGCTAATCTTCCTAATTATTAAGCTGTGATAATGATATCAAACGAGTGATCCTGGGGACGTCTTGACCAAATCTTGTTTTTCAGTTTTGTCCAAAGTCCGACATACCTCATCTTTAACAAATATTCTTCTATTCCTTCCATTGCTGAAATTTTTGGAGTTTCTAATGGAAAAGAAACCGATGTTGTTATTTCAGCCCAGTAACAACAGTAGCAATTTTGTAGCATGATTGCTAAATTATTTTTTATGAACAACACCTACCATTCATGAGGTTCTGATTCTTTCTGGGAAAGTTCGTATTTTGAATTCATCAGATTTGTCAGACTTCCATCAGCTAATGGTTGGCAATAAAATCATCTTTTGTCCGTCTGTCCGTCCATGGTCAGATGACCGTTACTATACACTGTTGCCATACCTGTGTACAATGTTTCGACTGTCATCAGTTGTAAGTCTATTTGATTGATGTTCATGTTGCCATGCACGTGATGTTTGTTTCTGCTTTGTAGATATTAGTAGGAACTATATGGCATGTTTTTCAGTCGATACAATTGGTGAAATTGATCTTGTGTCCCGCCTTAATTACATTACATTGATTGTTGCCCTTGTTTGCCGCTAGGGGTCGGTGAGGATCAAGGTCAGGGTCTTCGATGTGGATGACAACAGTGATGATTTTGTGGATTTCATGCAAAAAGTGTTCACAACCACTGTGAGTGCCAACTCACGGTCTCATCGCGTGCTCGTCAAGAGAAGGACTACGTACGTATTTAATAAATTGTGACCTTGACCTATCGGTCGAGTTCAGTACACAGTTGTTACAGAAATTCGACAATTATTCATGAAATATCTTACTCAGCAACTGATTCATGGATTTCAGAAACTTCTCCAATTATCTGCTATTTTTTTTTATCTTTAATTCGATACATTCCCCAAGTTTGTACGACACAATCTATATTAGGAACAAATCTTGTGATCCACATCGGTCAATCCGTTTTTATGATACAATGCTGTTTTATACCGTCTGTCAGATTTACTTCACTGTAACATTGGCTGTCTCTTTGTATAGTGAGGTTTAGGATTATTTATGAAATAAATAACAGAATGTAAACTGATAATCCGCACTGACAAGTTTGTGCTTATCACAACATTGTACCATAGTTAGGTGCACGACCCCAATATTTCCGTTGAAGTTACCGTGGTGTATTTGTAGCAAACCCAATTTTGTTAACTCCATCCATACAGACGTGCAGACTTGACTGTTCATTATGACAGCTCACACAGTCGTTCTTCTACATGGCGGGAGCAGCATAAATATGGGTTTTCTACAAATACACCACGGTAACTTCAAAGGAACTTTTGAGTCATACAAGAAACAAAAGTCACCATGAATTTTTTTTCAATCTTACTACCGATGAAGGGAAGGTGTGAACGACACACTTACTATAGTATTGAACAAAGTATTGATACTATTGTATTGAAGTATTCAAATAATCGAGTCAAGTATACAACGACCTCTGTGATTGGTCGGGGGCGGAGTTTAGACAACCTGAATAGTTGATCTGACACCCAATTTGTTCCGGTAGGCGGAGTTAATGTACACTACCAGTTACATAACAATTACTAAGTAATCGCTGGAAAAATGTCCGACGACGGCAACAGTACGCAAAATTTTCTTCGACGAAATTATGTCCGATACGAACGATATGGGGAATCCTGTTTTTGTACAAGGCGATGTGGTTGTGATGGATAATTGTGGATTCCATCACCATAGACAGGGAGAGCGCATTTTAAGAAATATGCTGAAAGAATATGGCGTGTCCCTGGTTTTTCAGCCGCCTCATTCCCCGGAATACAACGTAACTGAGTATGTATTCAATGTCATGAGACAGAGGCTTCGGGCAAATACCCGACTTGTGTCAGAATTTCTGGAACTTGCAGTAGTAAATGCTCTAGATATTCCGCCCAACCAACTTCAAAGTTTATTCACATGTTGCGGATATGTATAATTTTCGATGGAAAGATAAAAAATAAAATAAAAAATATATGGGACCACAGAATTCCTTTATTTTTTAATGCAGTATGAATTATCGGCATATATCAGGAGGTCCCAGGTAATTCGTAATTCTTTGTTACATATAATAGAGCTTGGGCTTAAACCGAAATATTTTGAGCCAACCCTCCCTCCCTTTCAAAAAAATAAATAAATAAAACTAGTACAGAATGACTATATGACTATATTCACTGTTAAGATGTTATGAATTCTCCGGTCCCAGTGATCTAACCTGTTGATATATATTTTGTACGTAAATTAGTTTAGTACTGAGTAACTTTCGTTTTCTCGTTGTACCATCGATGGAAAAGCAAGGTATCATTGGGTGTAGAACGAAACAAATGGGACAACCCAATTAGGTCTGATCTGAAGCCACCTGTGACTTGGACTCTTCCAATTAACCTCTCGCGACAGTCGAGTGTTTGTAAAATGCCGATGTCTGCACAGTATTTTTTCACCTGGCTCCACCCACAATCGATCTAGACATGGCTCTGCCAATCAGAGAGCTTGTTGCATAAATTTAAGGAATTCGATTGGTGAAGTACTTCAGTACAATACTATCAATACTTTGTTCAGTACTACAGTACTTGAAACGTTCACACCTTCCCTTCATCGGTAGTAAATGAAAAAAAGTAAAACAGGAAAAAAACTTTTTGACAATTATTGAAAAACGTTAATAAAACACATTTTTTTTTTGCACTGAAAATTGAAAACACAGTTGTACAGTGTTCTCCGACGATGCCGACTGAGTTTCGGGCTGATTCCGGATCCGGTTCTTTCACGACGCCGACACCTTCCGATGTTTGTTACGACATTCTAGTATTCAAAACTTTCCGAAATTCGTAGAATTCGGGGTTCTTGTCCCGAAAGTTAATGTGATTTCTATTTTCTTGCATGAATCTCTTTAATTCAACACACAACTGACAGCCACCTTTACGCCTGACTTCTATAACAAAACGACTGATCCATTTGTTGACGTGGTTTTCAGTCACATGGTTCACAACTGGAATGTATACATCACTGATTATCAGGCGGTGTCATCACCATTCATTATCTGTCGTCGTACTCCAGTCTGTATTTCACAGGTATTCTTCCTTTTAGTGCTTAATGTCGCGTAGTTCTTTTTCCTCACATATAGCTCCAAATCGCTTGGCCCCATCACTTCCGTGACTTTTGTTTTCGTCAGTTTTTATAGGAGCGTCAGGCAAGATAGCTTCCTCCAAGCTCTATGCATTGAAATTGCCAAATTCTATGTCTTCCAAATCATCACTTGAATCAGCATATTGTCTTTCAAGCGTCTGATATGGAGCGGTTTCAGACGTACCCATTGTCTGGGACAGAGTAAGTCCTCTGTCCCAAAACGGTTATGCCATTTTTTAGTCCGTTTCTAAAATGAAACGTTGTTTAGCATATTGCGAAACAGTTCCCGCATTTTTACTTAAAGCCAACCAGAATTGGCGTTTTGAAACACCGCCCTCTTAGGTGTTTAAAAATCAAGATGACGTATTTGATGCAAACCGACGGAAACATATAGGATAACTAACACTTAACAAGCAAGGCTATTTAGATCAAACAAAGAGCGTGACATGACGGTACAATCATGAAAATTAGGGTTTTACGACGTGAAGAATAAGCGATATGTCTAAATAGTGTAGACATGGTAAACATGAATATTTCCAAAACAGAAATTTGATCTCACTAACTATAGTTATGAATGGTATAATACAATGTTTGTGAAATATCAGTTCGTCAAAAACTGATGACATGTTTATCTGTTACAGGTTGTTGATGGATGTTCGAGTGTTCTGCGACCCTCACTACTTCGGTCAACAGTGTACTGTATTCTGTCGCCCTAGAAACGACTGGATGGGACATTTCACATGTGACCAAACTACCGGCGCTAAGGTCTGCAACCAAGGTAACGAGTGTAGTGTATTAAAACATATCTTTAACATCATTGTCCAGCATGTGTAATTTTCAGTGAAATACCAAATACTGCGTCTCGGTTTTAGATGAAAAGTGACTTTGAAAACAGTGCCTGTCCTAGACCTAAGCCCCTTATTCCCTAAAGCCGTCACATTTCTGTGTCAGATATAACAGTGCATCATGATTTCAGAAACCACTGAATACTGTTATAGCATTGTTTTATCGAATTCTAAAATATTGTATCTTTGTCAGGATGGAGGGGACGAAATTGTAACAGAAAAATAGACATTTGTGCTCCGTGTCAGCACGGCTCCTGTGACCAATCGGCGGCAGCCTATAAATGTGTGTGTGACCTTGGTTTCACAGGTGAGTATGACATCATCGCACATGCTACACGTCATAATAATAATTTGTTGTATAAGAACAGAAGTGTAATGGCATCTCTGTTCCCTGATCCGGAAGAAACTATTGTACGGTAACGTAATGTCTCTCGCGTAAGATTGATGGCGCTGAACGGTTTCATGACTTTGGTTTCTTTTATGACGTCATTTTGATGTTGTCTATGAAAAATGTCATTCCGGTATGAATGCAAAAAGTTCACATTAAACATACCACTAAGCTGTAACAGTGATTTTTGTGATATCAATGTAATCGGAATTCAAATGTTCGGATACTGATTCAGACGAATTTCAATTGAATTGACATGACTATTGTGAATTCATATCAAAATACGGAAATTTCAACACATCTCCGTTTAGTCCACTTTTATATGTATTTGATGCAGATTGTACACATTAACGCAATATTTTTCAATAAATATTTTCCAATCAGTTTTGATTAAATTTCCATTAATTCTGATGATTACTTGCAATATTTTTAATCTCTCGCATTCATGATGTTTATCATACAAGAAATGGTAAATGTATAATTGTTTTATTACCAGGTACTAACTGTGAAATTAACATGGATGAATGCGCCTCCGATCCGTGTCGGAATGGCGGTCTTTGCCTTGACCTCGTTGGGCAATATACCTGCATATGTTCCGTGGGTTGGAACGGTCCAGATTGCGAGAATGATGTGAACGAGTGCTTGCAGAATACGTGTCGAAATAATGGTACATGTATCAACGAACCTGGTTCGTATAGATGCAAGTGCGACGAGGGATGGAATGGAAAACACTGTGATATCGACGTTGACGAGTGTGCCCTTGGTTCTCAATGCAACACAAACGCTTCTTGTATCAATGTTCCAGGAACATTTGAATGCGCGTGCTCTGAAGGGCTAACAGGATGGTCATGTGAGGACATCAACGAATGTGTAGAAGATAATCCTTGTTTCGGTAATTCCACGTGTATCAACCAACATGGTTCGTTCCAGTGTTTCTGTCCGGAAGGCTGGACTGGAGATCTCTGTGACGTTGATATAGACGAGTGTGTGTACAATCCCTGTCTTTTTAACTCCACCTGTATGAACCGAGTCGGGTCCTTCGTCTGTATGTGTACTACAGGGGTGGCTGGAATGTACTGTGAGATAGATATTAACGAATGTGCTACTTCTCCGTGTTATGGTAATTCTACCTGTATAAATCAAGCAGGGTCGTTCACGTGTTCATGCGCCGATGGCTTTTTAGGTACGTAGATGCAAAACTTCACTAAAGAATATCCCTCTTAATAGATTGTAAACGGACATTGATATCACTGGATTTTCAAAATGAGTGACATACCTGTTGGCTTGTTACTAAGTGATTGTTTATGCTTACCTGTAACTGTAATACTACTTTTTGATGTGAAACAATTCTATATCATTTGGGACTTGATGAGTTAAGTAATTCTATCATCCTACAAAGCGACCATGTTTAATGATTAATAGTTAATTAACATCTATTGTTGCAGGTTCTTTGTGTGAGACAGATATAGACGAATGTGCTAGTACTCCTTGTGCCAATAACGGATCGTGTGTTGACCAAGTGGGAGGGTTTTCCTGTGAGTGTTTGAGCGGCTGGACAGGGGACCAGTGTGAGGAAGAACAGGACGAATGTGCAGGTAATCCATGTGAACATAACAGTACTTGTACCGATATGTTTGATGATTATGACTGCTTCTGCGCTCCCGGGTGGACGGGTAAATCGTGTGAGGAAGACATCAATGAATGCACGATGATAAATAATCCCTGTTCCCATGGAGGAAACTGTACCAATGCATTTGGGTCTTTTACTTGCGATTGCCCACACAACTGGGAAGGTCCTACATGCGACGACGATGTCAACGAATGTCACTTATCACCATGTGGAAATGGCGGGTCTTGTTATAATCACATCGGTCGATACTTGTGTGAATGTTCCCCGGGATTCACAGGCCAGGACTGTGACGATGATGTTGATGAATGTGTACAGAGTCCTTGTTTTAACAATGGAACCTGCCTGAATACGGCTGGTTCATATTCCTGTTCATGTCCCCCAGGTTGGATTGGCGAACATTGTGACCAGGATTACGATGAATGCAACGCGAATCCCTGTGCTAATGGAGGATCATGTTTAAACTCTGTGGGATCATTCTCTTGTAGCTGTTCGTTAGATTACACAGGAAGGCAATGCGAGACATTTAATGACAACTGTGCGGATAAACCCTGTTTGAATCACGGTAACTGCACCAGCGTCAATGGTGCCTTTAAATGCGAGTGTTCCGAGTCATGGACGGGTGAAATATGCGGCGAAGATGTCAATGAATGTGAGAGATATCCATGCCAATCTGATTCCACTTGCATTAACACGAACGGCTCTTTTATCTGCATGTGTCCACCACAAATGACTGGACCACTTTGTGCTACAGACGTCAACGAGTGCTCATCCAATCCATGTTCAAACGGTGGTTCATGTGTTAATGAACTGAGGTCTTTCCAATGCCATTGTCTTCCTGGATTTAAGGGTCATCTTTGCGCCGAGATTGACTTCTGTGGGTCCTTCCCTTGTCGACACAATGGCACGTGCGTCTCTGAAGGCCGCCCTCGCTGCCTATGCCCGAGCAACGTATTTGGAAAATTTTGTGACATCACCCTGAAAAATGCATGCTTAAATGGTGAGTCCATGGATGACCTCTTTGATCATGCACAACTATTTCCGGTTCACTGTCTCTAATGGTTATGCACGTCCTTCGGATCTGATTGGCCAGTATTTTCATTCACTATTTTATCTGGATCGTACCGCTTTGCATTATTCGTTACCTCGATAAAAAATTTGAATACAAAAAGAATATGAACAAAAGCGTAATTTACTTTATTTTTAAATTAGAGTGATAAGAATTATTATTTCATTTTTTAGAAATCCGGTAATACTCATCCATTTTATGAATATCGTTACACTCATCATGACTGAATAAATCTTTCTTCGACGTCATTTAGAAAAAGTTGCTTGTCGAATAATTTGCATTAACCAATTCGAAGACTTGGTTCGTATCCTCCAGTTTCCCGACACCTATTGCTGACTGTATTTGGACTCTTTAGAATGAATCTGTCTCATCACTTCCTTCACTCTTCATAGCACACCTATTTCCATTCCCTGTCCATTGCTGTCGACCGCTTGTGATGCATTGTTTTGTTCTATTGTGTACTGCACATTGGATCCAAATTGATTTTATTACCTGTTGGAAGGGTAACAATATACGTGCATGTTAGTTTTGACATATTTTATCAAATAATCTCCGAGTTTTGACAAGAAAAATATGTTGATGTATTTCTCTCTATCTCCTTGGTATATCACTAAATTATATAAAATCCCAGTCACAAGTATTAAGTTTCCATGGTGTTTCCCGGCCACTGTACGGTAATATTCTAACTGAATATCCTTCATATTATGTTTACAGAAAACACAGATCCAGTAATGGTAAATATCCATGGAAAGCTTGACACCTCCGGTGTGGAGATATTAAACCACTCTATAGCGGAAGCTCTGAGTCAGTTGTTTATGATAAATAGAGATGATATTCGTCTGTTGTTGACCTCGGAACTTTGGACGGATGCTGATAAGTAAGTATAAGTATCAAAAATACATAATATTATTTATAGTGACTGGTTACATAAGAAATACTACTGTACGTTTGTTTTTCCTACACGCATAAATTGAGACAATATTTTAAAAAATGTCTACCTATTTCAAAAGGACATATTTGCGGAAATTCTTTACAGATTTTGGTTCATCGATTAACAAACGTTCACGCTGCTCTAGTTGCGTCATAACAGGTTTGCTTTGTTATAAGTTGGATAGAATGAAATATTTGTGTGAATTACAAAATCAACAGAAAATAGTACTGAAGTAATAAAACTGTAACCCCAGCAGACATTTTAGTGAACAGCATGCATACGTGTGCATTTTCCAAATACAGAGCATGAAACCTATGACCCAGTGACTATTCAGTTCCGGGTTTCCCGATGCGCTATACTTAGACGGTTCGGCTAGGAACATGCCCACCGATTTACCTGTCCAAACTCACCACAGGAGAGACGTTTTATTGCTAATTATAGTTTCAAAAGTCATTAGAATCAGTTCTGAAAAGGTACAAAACAGCCAGAAATTAGACGAGATATTTCTTTACTCTCACGAAATAAAATCATTATTGATATAAATAAAATAAAAACTGCCTGAACAGTAAAACAAATGTCCATTTGTTTGCGTACTTCTGTTGTAAATTTTCTATATTATGCATAATTTCACCCCTTACAGCAAACCCATGACGACTGTCCTTATATCTGCCTACGTCCAGGATTCCCAAATATGTCGGGATGAATTAACAAATATATTCAGCACAGAAAACATTTTAGACAATGCTCTGGAAACACCTGCTACCATAGTTTATCAAAAGTCGGTCTCTGATGGACAGGCCAGTAATCTCCAAGGAACAACCGTTATGGAAACTAAGGTGAGCGGTATGGCATATGTTGAATCTTTTCAATGGGAGTTCTTCTTAAATAATAATTTAAGCATTAAACATAATTTTGAATTTTTCTCATGTGCAATGTAAGATTTTTGCATTTTTTTCAGGAAAATTGGTTATTATCCCGCTGGTACATTTTAGCTGTGATAGCTGGTGTATTTATAGCCTTAGTAGCCATAGCCATTGTAATATTCAAACACAAGCGGAGGTAAGTAATAACAGGGGATGATGTTAAACAAATAACTTCTGTTGTTCATCATGTATGTCTATAAATATTATTTTTTCATAATGATGAAATATTATGTAATAGGCGACATTAGATTTAAGCTTGTAGAAATTGTCAATTGTACAATACTGGTGTTTCTATCTGCAATAAAATTATGGTAGACTTAGCATAATTATATCAATATAAACTTGAATTGAGAACATTGGATTTTTACTTCAATTTTCTCTAACAATTGATATTTGTATACGGTTACTCACACAGTAACGGCATATAGTCTTATTTTCTGATATGAAAATTCTGACATTTACTATACATAAAACTATGGGGAAATTCATGGTCGCCATAGTGATCTCATTGAGAAATATTCGATTTATTTGTGTGACATGAAGCTATCCGTATTTGATGCTCGTTAGTTTGCCTGTTGGTTCGGTTATTCTATAGCTTGCTCTCATTTGAGAACGTGACTTTACTTAAGTGAATTGACCAAGGGTTACATGGCGGGTGTCGTCGATGAAGTAGAAGACGCTTACGCTTTCGGAACACTTGGTCTTATTCTCCTTGTACGTTTTTAGTAGACGCCGTGTAAATCTTTCAGTTGTTCATGTTTTGCCCTAGTTTTATGGAATTTGTGTTTGAATTATGTTAATGTTGTCATGTTTGTATATTCTTGATGTGTTTTTGGTATACCTCAATGACCTTTTCACTTTACAGACCAAAAGCACTGGTAATCGCTGGCCGGAACGATTCTCTGTACCGTAACGGAAGTCTGACAATGCCTGAGGATACGGGAGACGAGACGAGCGTTATTGCTAGTCTGTCGTTTGATAATGTTCTTTACACTACATTCCAGCCCCAGGGTCAGGCACCACCTCTAGACCCTCAAGACAATGAGAACGTGCGTTCATGATAGGACAATATTGTCCGGTCGATACACATTGTATAAATGATGAGGGTTGCTTTATAAAATATCACTCTTAATTGAAACATTATTATAATTTGACTGTTTTGGATATACTGTATGGTGTACATTAATCGTCGACATATTTGTTATGTAATATTGTTATTTTAAAACTGGTGATGACAGATCTATTATAATAACTGTTCCCATAATCGCTGCTTTATTATTGAGCAGGTTCAGGCACATTCTACTGCGATGGAAAGATTTAATTCTAGGTGTTTTACACCTATGTCAACTCTCCTCCTTTCTCTAATCAGGAAACTTGCACTTGAAAGCATCAATGCATCCAAATGTATAAACTGTTTTTTTGTTTTTTATAAAATAGTTTTTAAACATTTGTGCAACATTTGTTCTCTCAAGCTCTACACCTGAACCCGAATGAAGCCCCGTGTTTTATTTTTAAAACTCAAATATCATCGTGTGTAATGTATTTCCATCGATCCATTAATATAAGGTACATTTAAAAGCTAAATTGACATTTACTATCAGCGTTATACCATTGAAATGTCAGCCCAAACCCCAAGGTGATGACAAGTGCTCGCTATCAATGTATTACGTCCTTTATCCTTGTACGTAAGGGAACTTTGCATGATATCAGATAGATATATATATTTTGGTACTGTTTGATTTTGTATTGAAATTGCAATTATGACTGAAAAAATTGTTGTCCGAGATGGACATCGGGACATTGCTTGTTGTTATGATACATTTTTGACCACATCTGGGTTTCGGAGATTCCAAATATCGTATGTATGTGTAAACTTTTTACGGTAACATAGTACCATGCTATTAGGAATGTATGGCACCATAAAATTCATGACTCTTTTCTGTATTTTCAACTTTATGCTGTTTGATATAATTGATTAACAATTCATTAATATCTTCATTGTGTTCAACGAAAGCAAGGTATCATTTCACTTTATTAAACATCACAGAGTAATAATGAACATAACAATTTAGGGTGTTCGATATAACCGAGTAATCATTCATAAATCACTTCCGGGAATTCGATATAACCGAGTTATAATTCATAAATCACTTCCGGGAATTCGATATAACCGAGTAATCATTCATAGATCACTTCCGGAAATTCGATATATCCGAGTAATCATTCATAAGTCACTTCCGGGAATTCGATATAACCGAGTTATAATTCATAAATCACTTCCGGGAATTCGATATAACCGAGTAATCATTCATAAATCACTTCCGGGAATTCGATATAACCGAGTTATAATTCATAAATCACTTCCGGGAATTCGATATAACCGAGTAATAATTCATAAATCACTTCCGGGAATTCGATATAACCGAGTAATAATTCATAAATCACTTCCGGGAATTCGATATAACCGAGTAATAATTCATAAATCACTTCCGGGAATTCGATATAACCGAGTAATTATTCATAAATCACTTCCGGGAATTCGATATAACCGAGTTATAATTCATAAATCACTTCCGGGAATTCGATATAACCGAGTAATCATTCATAGATCACTTCCGGGAATTCGATATAACCGAGTAATAATTCATAAATCACTTCCGGGAATTCGATATAACCGAGTAATAATTCATAAATCACTTCCGGGAATTCGATATAACCGAGTAATAATTCAGAAATCACTTCCGGGAATTCGATATAACCGAGTTATAATTCATAAATCACTTCCGGGAATTCGATATAACCGAGTAATAATTCATAAATCACTTCCGGGAATTCGATATAACCGAGTTATAATTCATAAATCACTTCAGGGAGTTCGATATAACCGAGTTATAATTCATAAATCACTTCCGGGAATTCGATATAACCGAGTAATAATTCATAAATCGCTTCAGGGAATTCGATATAACCGAGTAATTATTCATAAATCACTTCCGGGAATTCGATATAACCGAGTAATAATTCATAAATCGCTTCAGGGAATTCGATATAACCGAGTAATTATTCATAAATCACTTCAGGGAATTCGATATAACAGAGGAATAATGATATTCAGTAATATTGACAAACACTTTGAAAATTAATTATTTCACGAGATTCATTATATCTCGGTAACAATTAATGAATCATTTAACGGTACAATACATATCAAAAATACATCTCGTAATATATATCACAAATTATATATGATATATCTAGAATAAATTGAAAACCTCAATGATGATACTTTCTTGGTTGAAATAGGATAATACTTGCACACTATAATTTGAAATAATGGAAGCTAGCATGTTAAAGGTTTGTTTTCTTAGAATAAATAGTTTGAATTATTCCTGTTCCCTATTATCATTCACCGTTTAGGAATGGATGCAGACACATACCAATTATGTTCACCGTTTAGGAATGGATGTAGACACATACCAATTAAATTCACCGTTAAGGAATGGATGCAGACACATACCAATTATATTCACCGTTTAGGAATGGATGTAGACACATACCAATTAAATTCACCGTTTAGGAATGGATGTAGACACATACCAATTATATTCACCGTTTAGGAATGGATGTAGACACATACCAATTAAATTCACCGTTTAGGAATGGATGCAGACACATACCAATTATATTCACTGTTTAGGAATGGATGTAGACACATACCAATTATATTCACTGTTTAGGAATGGATGCAGACACATACCAATTATATTCACCGTTTAGGAATGGATGCAGACACATACCAATTAAATTCACCGTTTAGGAATGGATGCAGACACATACCAATTATATTCACCGTTTAGGAATGGATGCAGACACATACCAATTATATTCACCGTTTAGGAATGGATGTAGACACATACCAATTATATTCACCGTTTAGGAATGGATGTAGACACATACCAATTATATTCACTGTTTAGGAATATGTCGGTATAACGTAAATTCTTACAGAGAGCGGTTGTTTATAACGTGTTAGTTAAGTATGTTACTTCACATCTTTAATGTAACAAAAAGTTTTGTTTGAATTACATTGTCTAAAATAAAAATTGTAGTTTATCTTTGTGTTACTTTTTATGTAAGACTTTAATGCAAAATAGATTTTAGTATTTTTCAATGGCATACTTTTAGATGTTCTTTGTATACAGAAAACGAGGTTTGCACGAAGACATAATGAAGATTAAATCATCAACTTGTATTTCTTATTAGGAGTTATCGTACGAATATTGAGTTTCAAGAATGACTTTCTTTTATGTTTTACGAAAAAGGACAGAACAACACATCATAGCTTGAGTTTTGAGTCATGAAGATTTATTACTGTACCTTAACGAACTTTGAGAATAATATCCCGAAATATCTATATACATATATGAAAAACTGTATAAACATTTTGCACGATAGCGATATCACTGAATTGAAATAGATAGAAAATTAGGATTCTCCAAAAGGTAAAATCTTTTCAATTAAAGAGACCAACGGAGAGATAATTCACGAAAGTGTCAAAAAAACATTTCTGTGATTTAACACAAATAGATCGGATGATTATGGCTATTAAACACTTCGATATCTCTTGGTTAAAAGTGATATTTTTATTTGATTTGGTTCAATGACATTAACTTTTCTGTTTCTGTTGAAAATGTTTTTTTTTAAATGATGTCAAAACAGAGGGTTTTGTACTTCACTTGTCGTATTGTTTAGCATCTTGGGGCATTCCTGTGTTTGTGTACGATTCACACCATTTTACCTCTATCCAGCTTGCAGTTGTTGATACAGTGAAGGGGAGATAAAACTGTCATTTCAACACTCTCCAATTAGCTTCACGCTGACGTTACCAAATGCTGAAGGTTAGAGACCACCAATTCAATTTTAAAAAAATGACATGTTAGGTAATTGCCAATGTGATCGTTTTGTTAGAAGTTGTGAGAGAGTTATACGAAGTAAAACGAAATGAGAATAAGTTCTGGTCAGTTCCGTATAATATCTATGGAAGAGACGTACAGTCAAGATATTAAGCTTGTTCAATAGTCTTGAGCATTTATGTTTCGACAGGTGAAAACCGCTGAGTAAAGGTAACAGTAGTAACAGTTCATGAAAGCACTGTTGAAGAATATCTTGTGAACATTCAATTGCGGAAACAAAAAATAGCCTTGCAAATCATAACATTGAAATTTTGAATACATTAGAAATTGAAAAAAGGTGTGTAAACATAGAATATCACAACGTGCACAAACACAGGAATGTCTAATGATGATAAACAATACAACAAGTGAATTACCAAGCCAACTTCCCTCTGTTTTGACACAATTTTAAAAACTATTTTCAATACGCACGGGAAACAGGATTTCCCTTATAGAACTTCGAATTAAGATGCTCGATAACAGATAAAAAACAATCCGATCCTTAAACTTTTCCCTTCTCTGGTTTTGATAGGATTAGATAATCGTCGAGAATTGTATTTAAAGTGATGACAGATTGAAAGATTGATCTTTCGTGTCTGGTTGATTATAACTTACACTGCCTGTCAAACATTTCTCATAAAAGTCTTCACTTTACATTAACTGTATATAACACAAGACATTTTGAAACATACAGTGTCAATACATGTATTTATTTCCTTCATATTTGCTCTTGTTTCTTCGAATTGGAGTTTGGATTAAAGATTTGATATCATATCGGTGTTTTCCTTGTTGTCTTTGAAACTATACTGCTTCTGTATACACTACAAACAAAGGATAAATAACTCCTTCATTGTGTCAATATTAGTCAATGAGAGGATTGTTTTGTACTTCTGTTTGAAAAAAACCCAAAAAAACAGAATAATTCATTACGAATATGACGGCAAGGGTTGACACAGATGAAGAGTTCGCCTACAATCCGACAATTACTGGAATATAGACCATAACGAATCTCATAAATAAAGTCACGTGACCTGTCACAAAAACTAATCAATTACATACATAGTTGACGTTCGCATTGATGTAACTACGTGAATATATAAACCTGTACACCCACTGATAAGAAATGAGTTTGACATGGTTAGTAAGTCCTTGGTTTATTCCTCTTTATAGTCGCACAATATGGTTTAGTAATCTCTGCTGGTAACCAAGGAAGGGAAACAAAAGTACAACTTTTCCTGAGAGAGGAAATATCGTAGAAAGAGATAATTTTCTAATTGTTGTCTTTTTATCATTATAGCGATTACAGAATTGAAAAAAAAATATTTAAAGCGAAAAGCAGGAATACCAGTTAGTTGTGCTTTATAATTGATCTTTTATAGATACGTATCATTATAAATACTGACATAGATACTTTCGTACATAAATGTTTGTGATTAATGTTTTGTATGCTGATAGAAAGCATTAAGTGAGTTACGTACTGATAAGAAGAATTATTTTTGACCATAATTTATATACCTTAAAGTAACTTTCGGCATTGACACGTATAAATTTGAAAACAAATCTGATGTTCTAAGTTGTGTATGTCTAATAACAAGCATTTCCAAAAAAACGTTTTCATACAATTGATGAATTACTCTAAACTGCAGTTGATTTGATTCAGACGGAGTTTACCACAAGGACCAGAATCAAAGATAAAGACAACTGAACATATTGTCATATTTTCTACCTCGTTTATATTCCTTTTAAAACGTGTATATTTAGATTTTGTCTAAACTCTGACCGTGTCGCCAACATATTACAGTTTTTAACCTTTATCTGGTTAAAGTTGTATCAGTTTGAAATGAAACATGAAATATCAGTTTGATCTGAACCTCCATATTTACACATCATACAAATATTGAGATACTACTCAAGCCCCTTAATTTTATCTGTTTTTGGCAGTACTCGGCGTTGCTGTTATAACTTTGCGCTAATATGAGTTTTTTTGTAGAGATTTATTCTCATCGATCTGACAGGATGTATGGAGGAAGTAACACTGATGGCGTTCAGCTACTGAGAACGGGAAAAGAGATTAACTGTCATGGAATGTGCATGTTTATTTACAGGCTCTTGTACACATGTGCAAGAGGATGCTTTTTAGATTTGCATCTATTCTCATCTTTTTACCATCAGAAGTTTTCTTCTTATCGTAAATTCAAGTGTTTACCTTTGAACGATGAATGCTTAGTACGAAATGCATTTTGATTTTTATGCGAATTTATCTATAGCGGATTGAAAGTATATTCAGTCATTTCAAAATAAATGGCGAACTATGTTAAATTCTTTCTTCTTTCTTTCTAATAAGTGGCAACACTGACCGACTTCGCTAACGGGCGAAAAAATAGCATTTACCATAAAAATAGCATAGAATCCAGGAAAAACGACTTTACCCAATCTAGCTCTTTCATCTTCAAAAATGCGATGATCACTATATTAATTGTATTTGAACTAATGAGTATTTCCAGGAAAAGAACAGATAAACATACATATGAAGCAATGTCTTGCTTAATTTGTGTTTTCTGTTCATAGAAATTTTAAACCATTATCCTGGATACATCATTTTGACATTGGAGGGAGTGACTGGGGCAGTCACCTGTATCCCCCATTGGACGTGGGCAGTTGTGTTTAGCCTTAGTGACATGTCGAGTCAGCGACGAGTGTACTTCCAACGTCAACGGTTATGCTGAGCCTTCTTAAATTACCTCTCTTTATGACACACTCACCTGTCAGGGAAACGTCACATTTGTTTGGGCTTCCTGAACGAGTATACGTCTGCTAACAACCGCTCCGCCATTGTTACACTTGTAAATTTCGTGCAACAGAACCCACTCCTGGGATATTGTGTATGGATTAAATCCCAGTAAATATTACATTATTTTATCATGGAATTATTAACCTACTTCTTCCTCCTCGGATCTCTGGTAAAGGTATGTAATTATATATCAATATTGTCACCTAAAAGTTTTCAGTAAGAAAAATTATGCTTTTAAATACTATAATTTAGTATACAATATTGTTAATTTGTGTTGTCATCGTCAGTGACCTAATCTGTATGTCAATCATTCCATTTATTTTTCAATGTGTGTATTGCTTGATATGGACATTGAGGAAAATGCCGGCCTACGGAACGTACATATAATTGGTTACTACAGTTACGTACTTCAGTATTTCAGGTGAAGGAGGTGTGAAGTGTTAACACGATGTATTTCATTATAAACTGTTACATTCGTAATTTATCGTAGTATTTAAGTTTTAAGATTTCTACCAGATATTGGAATGAAGAATACATTTTAAAAGCTCTTTAGAAACTGCCTTCATAGGCAATGACCATCCTTTCATTGATTAGCTTCAAACGTAAACTGTATTTTCTGAGTGCAATGCACAATACTTTGGGGGATTCCCTATTCCGTAACAACGTGATAGCAATATTAACGACGAAAACAGATCTTTCCTGTTGATAACCTGTACTGTATCGCTGCTATCAACACTGTTGTCACCTAATGCCCTTAAGGTAAAACTATAAAACATCCATGGCTGGTGGAACCTGCCATCTAATACATTGTATCAAGAGTGTGCGGCAGTTTGCTAATAAGTACTGGTAAATATACACATAAAATAGATGTTTTTGCGTGCGGTGTATTTGCGTGCGTGCGTATTTGCGTAGAAACCCGAATAGCGAAATGATTTTTTTTTAAAAATCAAAAACTTTTAGACAGCCAGGTTTCAAACTTTGGGCCCCTACATCCAGTCAGGATGTATAACACACTACATACACCAACTCCTTTTTAGAATACCAATCCTGACAACGTGGTCCAATAGAGAAACAGATTGTCTACATGCATCGGCATGTTGTTCGGGTCTGATCGCTTGACTGCTGTAATTTATACTCCTTCATCATATTTTGTTATATATCGTGTTGTTGCGTCATTAAGTAATCATGAAATGACGTCATAGATTTCATGATGTCACGATGGAAACAATGACTGTAAAGACAAAGGGAAAACTTTGACTTGTAGAAAGTACTTTACTGTATATTGTACTTTGGGGTACTACAAGGTAAAAAAGTTATATGGTGCTTTTGTAACATTCATTTAAAGAACCTCTGATTTTTATGTAACTGAGGTACATAACTATTTGTTTACCGACATAATGTGTGACTTATATAAATATATAATATGATAAATTATCAATCAATGATTTCATAATATGAAATCGATTAATTTATTATTATTTTCATTCACCAATTATGTTATTGATAAATCATAATCCACACTGTAAGTTTCACACATAAAAGGAACACATACAATAATATGATAAACAGTTAGTTACACTCATCATTTGGTACGATCACAGTGTGATATATGGCAAACATTTGGTAATAAAAAAAATCAACGAGAAAATACCAAATTAATCATAATCCAAACTCAAATTCAATAGAACAGAGCAAAATATGAAAAAAAGATTTACACGGAGAGTCCGGAAAAGTACAAGAAGAATAAGACCAGGTGCTCGGGAAGACTAAGCGCCTTCTGCTCCATCGACGAAACAATTCTCGCCATATAAATCTTGGTCAGTCCAAGTCAGTGATGTCACGTTCTCAAATGAAAACAAAGTGTACAACAATGGAACCAACAGACAGACCTACGTACATCATGTCCAGCTTCATGTTGCATAACGAGATTACTATGACGACCGTACAACTTTCATTTAAAAAAATCATTCAAGTTTCGTCCGTCAGTTGACGTCTTCCTGCTCGAAAATCATAATAATGGGAACAAGCTCTTGAATATCAGATCAACTGGGACATGCTAACACCATGGGTTGGGGATGAAGGGATGTTGTTGTCCAGGAATGAATAATTCACAATAGGGAAATTGAGATCTTCAAGCTTATCGTACAGTTTGATGGAAAGCTGTCCATGTTGGTTTCGTTGTAGGGAATGTCTGTCATGATCTTGATTTCCAGGTCTGGTGGGTATGTACGATGGACGTGGTCAAACATTTCTTGTTATTTAAAGACAAGATGTCATCAGTATATCTGAAAGTTAATTCTGACGACTTTTTAATGTCTTTGTGAACTGTTTTGGTCTGAAAGAAAAAAACAATTCAGTCAGAGGCGCAATAAGCAATATACATTTGACCATAAATGTTTTTTTTAATCTACCTTTTCAATAATGCCTCAATTAAGGGCATTTATCATCATAAAAAGACTAATTAATGATATAATAATTAGGTACGTTTGTGTTTTGTACAATATTGAACTAGAAATGGTGGTAAGGACACTTCAAAACGCCAAGTAAATAAGGGTAGCATATCTACCTCCAATCTCTATCCTGGTCTATTGCACGCTTTCAATATATAACGATGCTTTATTTGTTCTCAAAGCTCAGCTGAATATATTTCATACATTAGGCCTCAGTTTATCAGTCTTGTATGCATTATTCACACAAGGTCATTCTTACTAACAGGACGCATAAAACTAGGTCATCTTTACTAACAAGACGCATAAAACTAGGTCATTTTTACTAACAGGACACATAAAAATATGTCATCCTTACTAACAGGACACATCAAAATATGTCATCCTTACTAACAGGACACATAAAAATATGTTATCCTTACTAACAGGACACATAAAACTAGGTCATTCATACTTAGAGGACATATAAAACTATGCCATCTTTACTAACACGACATGTAAAACTATGTCATTCCTACTAACAGGAAACTTAAAACTAGGTCATACTTACTAACAGGACACATAAAACTAGGTCATTCTTACTAACACGACATATAAAACTAGGTCATACTTACTAATAAGACATATAAAACTATGTCTTCTTTACTGACATGACACATAAAACTAGGTCATCCTGACTAACAGGACACATAAAACTAGGTCATTCTTACTAACAGGACATATAAACCTATGTCATCCTTACTAACTGGACACATAAAACTAGGTAATCCTTACTAACAGGACATGCAAAACTATGTCATCCTTACTAACATGACACATAGAACTAGGTCATCCTCACTAACAGGACACATAAAACTAGGTCATCCATACTTAGAGGACATACAAAACTATGCCATCTTTACTACCACGACATGTAAAACTATGTCATTCCTACTAACAGGAAACTTAAAACTATATCATTCTTACTAACAAGACCATAAAACTAGCTCATCCTGACTAACAGGACACATAAAACTAGCTCATCCTGACTAACAGAACACATAAAACTAACTATGTCATCCTTACTAACAGGACATATAAGACTATGCCATCTTTACTAATAGGACATGCAAAACAATGTAATCCTTACTAACATGACACATAAAACTAGGCCATCCTTACTAACAGGACACATAAAACTATGTCTTCTTTACTAACATGACACATAAAACTAGGTCATCCTGACTAACAGGACACATAAAACTATGTCTTCCTTACTAACAGGACATATAGAACTAGGTAATCCTTACTAACAGGACACATAGAACTAGGTCACCCTTAATAACAAGACATATAAACCTATACCATCTTTACTAACAGGACATGTAAAACTATGTCACCCTTACTAACAAGACCCTAAAACTAGGTCATCCTTACTTAAAGGACACATAAAACTAGGTCATCCTTTCTAACAGGACATGTAAAACTATGTCATCCTTACTAACACGACATATAAAACTAGGTCATCCTTACTAACACGACATATAAAACTAGGTCATCCTTACTAACACGACATATAAACTAGGTCATCCTTACTAACAGGACACATAAAACTTGGTCATTCGTACTCACAAGACACGTAAAACTGGACAATTCTTACTCATAAGACACTTTTTTTACTTTTTATAACATAAACTGGTTCATTTGACTTCATTATAAGTTATCTGCTGTTTGTTTATACAAGGACATTATCACTCGAGATTTACTTTCAATATCTATAGTTTTACGTGTCCATCATATACCACTGTGAAACTACGAATACTGAGGATGGTCTTTACAAAACTTTATATATCATTTCTAAATCATATTCAAAATAAGCAGGCTACGTCTATTGGGAAAAGGACATTTATTATTTTATATTAGCAGGGACGTATAATACGTCCCTGATATTAGTTTATTAAGTTTTTGTTTTGTTTTACTGAAATAACTGATTATCAATACAAAAGCGAGACACTGTCATTTCGCTTTAAACCAATTTCTGACGGACTGGTTACACTATGGAAAGAACAGGTATCACTAACCTTTTCTCTCTACTGTTCAGAGAAGACAGAATTACATCGAATTTGGTTTTGAGCATCCGTTATGAAGATGGTTTAGTTTGTGTGAATTGAGTTCCACCATCACATGAAGGGACTAAGAATCCTTGATAAAGTTATAAATGTAACACCACTAAATATCACAAACATATCAGTGCAATGGAATGTTGAGAAAGGAAGTACATTTATAAAATGAATTAATCTTGGTCATTAGACTGTCGGTCTAACATTTATAACCGGTAAAATATGTTTTTAGGTCAGAAAACATTACCATGATTAGTGGTGTCTTAGATCTACCACCGCACTGAGGGTACTGGTAAGATTAACAATGGGAACGATGGGCCTGATGGCTCACTTCTTCTGTTGGTAAACATTCCGGGATTTAGAATCCACGAAATTCTTTTCCTCACGAATGCAGACCTCCCAATGATATCAGAATCAACCATCATGTCTCTGGGACTTATGGTTACTTAGGAGAAGCCGTTTGAAAATTTCAACACAACGGATCTGGAAAGCAGGTCAAGGACATTCGTTTGAATAAACGTGAAGCCATTTCATTCGAGCATGCTAATTGCCAAATATTATGACCCAACGTTGTCTTAATTACAATTTCAAATGGATGTTTAACTTCCTGGTGTTTGTTAAATCTGAAG